GGCCCGAAACGACGGATTTCTTCTGACAGCGGTCTATTTTTTTAGCATTTCCAGTAATTTTCTACTGTGGTGTGGCGAGCCCCTGATTTGGGGACGGGATGTGACCCGGCGCTACCAGCAGTGTCTGATGAGGCAGTGTCCGAGGCCCAAAATGAAAAGCGGGCAGCCGATACTATTTATCAGCGGTGGGCCTCCGGACTTGGCTACCATGCCACCGCTGCTTAGATTTCAAGCGGGGAAGGTACGGGTGGCTCCAGTATGAGTATGCCCTATGACCTTTCACAAAAACTTGTCCAAATTATGCCCTAAGTCCTGGACGCCACAGGAAAAAGAGTTTCGGGTTTCCGTGGAAGAGTGTTTCGAAGAGTTTGCCTGCGGAATGACGGGACCCCACCAGAGTGGCTGGGAAAGCCAGTTTCCATGAGGTTGGAAAGGATGGAAACTGGAGATGGACCCAATGGTGGGCCTTGCACTTGTTTCCGTTGTGCCCCCTATTGGGCGACAACAGCATGACATTGTCCGTAGACCTGTCCAGTGGACCAGGGAATGGCTTCGGGTGGACAATGGATGGGTCGGTGGGTTGGCCAGGAGTTTCCAACCATGGACATGGCCCCCCGCTCTACTCTCTGGAAAGGGCACAAAAATACGGCGGAAACCTCTCCACAGCCCACATTTCCGACCGGAAACCAGTGTGAAAACGAGAAATGTGGCTTTTCCGATACCGGTTTCCAGGCTGTGGGGTCACGGAAAACCTGGCCGCCGTCCTGAAATCTGCTTTCCGGAGGGCCTGCTTTGTCCTATAGAGTCCGAGATAGGCTTTTCCACGCCGGTTTTGCCACTGTTTTTCCCTGTGGGGTCTAGGCCTAAGACTATCCGAATTTGTGGACAATATCCAGCGGCCTAGCTCAGTTGGTAAGGAACGCAAGTGGCATTCAAGACGTCTTGGGTTCAATCCCCATTGGCCTCATATACCTTCCTGGGCAAGCTTGGCGCCCGCCACCTAGAGATATGCCGTTGGTCCCCCCAAGTGGCATTGAGCAGAGACTGCTGATGTTCATAGGGGGAGGGGACCGGAGGGGAGGCACAGTGACTGGCCCATCGAAGAAGCTCGGTCCTGATGCTACCGACTGAACCCTGGCCGGTATCGCCGACCTGCTGTAGCAGGTATCGCACCACCTGCTGGTGGGTGCAGCTCCCGCCTCGTTGGAGGCTTGAGCACGGATGTGGCTGCTACAGGGTTCCCCGTAATAGCATAATGACAATAAAAAAGGCCTGAAAGGCCGTCCTGTCCAGATTTGACAGGTAATTGAATTGGTTGGGCTTAAAGAATTAGCCTTATAAAAAAGAAAGAAAAAAAAAATAAAAGAATTTGTGAACAAATGACAGTGGCGGAGCGAGGCTGGAACTGATCACAATCCAGGCCATATCGGGCCTTTTTTTTTCTGATTTTTTCTTGGACTTTTTCTGGACGTGTTTGTAGAGAGAGGCACCTCTCCGCACGTCCAGACTCTCTCTCTCTCTCTCTCTCTCTCTCTCTCTCTCTCTCTCTCTCTGTGTCTACCTATCTATATATCTATCTATCTATCTATAGCACAGGTCAATGGACACACACGCACGATAGCGCCCGAGACAGAGAGCTAACGTGTGTGCGTGCGCGCGCGCGCTCGAGAGAGAGAGAGAGAGAGAGAGAGAGAGAGAGAGAGAGAGAGAGAGACGTGGCAGTGCCACATGCCATGAGACTCTCTTACAGAGTTGCGCGTAATGGCGCGCGCCCATTAATATGTATGTATGTATGTACGTATGTGTGTGTGTGTGTGTGTGTGTGTGTGTGTGTGTGTGTGTGTGTGTGAGTGAGAGAGAGAGAGAGTCTAGATGTGTTTGACGAGAGGTGTAGATAATCGCCACCCTGCATTCTCCACAAAAAAGAACAGATTCAGGCACAAAATATCAGAGAGAGTGAATGATATTTTGCACCTGAAGGTGGACATCTTTGTGGAGTGGACCGGAATTGTGATTTCTGCAGAGCCCCATTTTCTGCACAGCCGTCGGACCATTTCTCGATTTATGAATGTCATCTTTGCGCAGGGGCAATGCTAATCTTCTTCTGTGTATCGTTCCCATTTCAGCGGTGTCCCGAAGACCACGCGAGAGATTACACCCGTAAGCGCATGAAGCCGGTGCGAATAAATTTCACCCTCAGTCTCATGAGTACGGTAGGGTGCGTGGTGTGGGGGGGAAGATAGTAGCCAAAGGAGTGTTAAACTGCACGTGGAATTCCCCGTACGGTCCTTCGGGACATCCGTTAAAATTGGGACGATCTAGAGAGGGTTAGCAAGGCCATTTCGGCAAGGATGAGGGGCAGACATCGAAACAGAAAAAAAAAACACAACAACAATCCTCCGTCCGTGCCAGCCATACTTGCCTGCTCGGAACAAGGCAGCCACATGTGCACAGATTCCATCGCCTTGGGAGATTCGGTCTTCCTGCCATACTTGCCTGCTCGGAACAAAGCAGCCACGTGTACAGATTCCATCGCCTTCGGAGATTCGGTCTTCCCGCCATACTTGCCTGCTCGAAACGAGGCAGCCACGTGTACACATTCCATTGGCTTCAGAGATTCCGTCTTTGCCCTTGCGTGGCTCCTTACCTGGCTGCCCTGCCCCCTATCTTTGCATCTGCCAGGAAACTTCGCGTCCTCTCTCCCGCGTCACTCATCGTGGGCCTGGAGCTGTCGAGCTCCTGGACGCAGTCATGCGCCAGCAACAGTGCAGCCGCCACCATTCTTCTCATTATAGCGTCGGTCCGCACCTGCTCTTGCAGACACGTGTCGAGAATCTCGATCGGTATGGTGCCAAGATCAAGAGGACCTCCTAGCGACGGTCTCACCCACTCCACGAGCGTCTGCCATTCTCCCCCTGGTGGTGGTCCCGGCGTGATCGCCTTCCTACCCGTCAGCAGCTCCAGGAGAAGAATGCCAAAAGCATACACGTCGTTCTTTTCAGTCAGCCTGCCTTTCGCGAGGTACTCCGGCGCCATGTAGCCGTGGGTGCCTGCCACGTGGGTCGTCCGCACCATACTCTCGTATTGAGTGTCGTAAAGGCTCTCACAGATCTTCGCCAGCCCGAAATCGGCGACGCCGCCGCGGAGGTTCGGCCCCGATCCGACTGCCAGAAGAAAGTTGCTGCTCTTGATATCCCTGTGAATGATTGGACGCTCGGCCTCTGTGTGAAGATACCGGAGACCCTTGGCGATGTCAAAGGCTACACACATGCGCTCCACTAGCGTGAGAGGAGGAGGAGGAGGAGGAGGAGGAGGAGGAGGAGGAGGAGCAGGAGGAGCAGCAGGAGCGCCGACTGCACTCCCGGTGTTGTGACCTCTGTTGTGCAAGCGCGCGAAGAGACTGCCGCCCGGGAAGTAGGGGTATACAAGGATGTACGTATTCCCTTCCTGACAGTAACCTATCAGGTCGATTAGATTGGAGTGATGGAGCCTGCTCAACGTGTTCACTTCGATGACGAATTGCCTCCGCTTCACATTCGTCACGTTCCCCCTCATCACCTTCATAGCCACCTCCCTCTCCCCAATAGCCCCCCAGTAGACATCGCCGAAAGCACCCTTGTCTCCAATCCGATAATCGGCGTTGAAATTGTCAGTCACATGCGCCAAGGTTTTCAGCTGGAAGGCATTTACACTGAAGGGCTGAACCTCTTGGACGCTCACGTCGCTGGTGGATGCTCCCGTGCGGGAACGGTCAGCGAGGACTGGCGCGAGAAAGGGAGAACCTTGGCTCTGTTGATCCGTGCGCATTCGCCGCGTTCGACAGTAGAAGCGAACATAGAGGAGGGCAGCGATGACGACAGAGACCGACATTGCCACCAGGGAAACAAAAAGCGCAAGAATTAAGCGCTCCCGGTGCTTTACATCCTGAGACAACACCGAAGGTTCCCCTAGCGGAGTGCTATCTGACCCCGGCGTTGGTAGGGAAGGTGGAGAGCACACGTGCAGGGCGGACCTGTTGATCTCTAGCTGGAACAGTTGGCCGTCGTTTGTCCCAGCGTACAAGCTAACCGCAGCCTCATCTTCATGGATCGCCAAGCCCGAGAGCCCTCCTCGGCTATATCTCGCCACTACATCCACCGTGTAAGCTTCGCCGCACTGTTCTTTTAACTGAATCCATCGCAAGATACCGACAATGTCAGTAAGGAAAGCATTGCACCCGTCCTTAGTAACTACAATCTCTCTCAAATCGTCCTGGTCACGCGCTGCCAAACCAACTTTGATCCAGCTGGCGACGGGAGTGATAGTCTTCCTAAGAAGATCAGCGACCCAGATATTGCCCTCCTCTCGATCAACCATGTACAGACAATTACCGTCCGAGGTGAAACCTTGCGGACGTACGAATGGCCTTTCTACTCCCAAGCCACTTTGTAGAGGGAAGGTGGCTTCCATCCCGAAAGGGTTACTACCCCCGCTGCCGGCACCATGACTGAGCAGACTCGCAGCCGCCGCAGACATCAGATATGGTCCACCTTGGAAATCAATAAGGTAGGCTTTTGCTTTCCTAGGGTCGAGGCCTATACCATGAGCGCGGATCCCCTGCAAAAGGACGGAGCGCCTGCTGCCATTCACAGGGGAGAGCCAGGTTACCGTGGACGTGTCGCCCATGGAGTCACCTGAGGAGCCATTCGACTTGATAGTGGTTAGTAGCAACGTGCTCCCTTGATTGGACAAGTCCATTCCTGTAACCCACGCCATCGGCTCCAGGCTGGGGTCTGGCGGGAAGGACGGCCTGCCGTCCGGAACGTTATACGGCCACCAGTAACTAATAAGCGAATCGTTCTGGAAAGGTTCCCTTCCCGCTGCCCCCGGCATCCGCTTGGCCTTTCGCACGGAGAACAGCCTTTGCTTTGCAGACTGGTCCAAGGAGAACAACTCTTGGAGATCGTAGTACACGACAGAGCCGTTGGAGGCAAGCACAAGGTTTGCGACAAAGCGAGAGCCGCTGTCTGATGAACTGCTGTTGGACGTGGGAAACAGCGGGGTCGGGGTCGGGGTCGGGGTCGGGGTCGTCAGTACAATCGCGCTGTTTACTATCAGGGAATGGAGTATCAGGGAATCATTGGGATTGCTAGATTCTAGAGACCTTCGCGAGTTGTAAGTCATTTTCTCGGGAGAGACGGAACCAATTGCCTGATGAGAGCGGGAGGCAGTAGTGCAACATGCAGCACCGAGGCAGCTGTCAGACCGGTTGCCAGCCATGATCCGCCACTTGTCCTCCCGGTGCGGACTACTCAAAGCGCGCCACACGCTAACCGTGCCTACGCCGGACATCAGCACAATCGTCCCGACACAGAGCGTCATAATCACCACTGCCATCATCACCGACCCTAGACCGAGTACGCGCAAGACACATGTGCTAAAACGCCTTGGTGTTGTCTCCTTCGACTGCCTGTGTCAGAATTCCATGCTCTCAGAATTGCCACGTCAGCCAAACCTTATCAGGCACCACGAGACGTGGCCCCGCGGAGCGAAGAGTGACCGCTGCTACACCCGGACTACTCTTGACGGGACGCCTCCGCGAATGGGACTTTCACCCCTCCGCCAGCTTCCTTCCCTTTGGCAGAGCCTTCTTCCCGAGGACACAAAGAAGATAGGACGGCAACAACCATTTGTTTTTCCTGATAATTTGCGAAATACCCCTATAAGTTGTGATACTCGCCAAAATGCCTTTAAAAGATCTGTGTAAGGCGATATACCACTCTGGCACAAAAAATGCTTTGCGAAATGGGCCTCACGTCGGAGGGACCTGTCTTCTTTGCGAACTACCCCTACGGGATACTGTCCGTGTTTGCAAAATGTCCCAGTACTTGGCAACTTTTCCCAGGCCCTATGTATTTACGTTTTACCCCTAGTGGCCCAGGGAATCTTTGCGTTTTGCCCCCTCGCTGTGTGTTTGTGCGTGTGTGTGAGAGAGAGAGAGAAGGGAAGCGTGATAGGGGGGCAGGATAGCGAGAGAGAGAGAGATGGGAAGCGGGATAGCTGGATAGCAGCCAGCGGGAGTGGCGCACGGTGGGGGGGAGGGGGCACACACACAGACATAGAGAGAGAGAGAGAGAGAGAGAGAGAGAGAGAGAGAGAGAGAGAGAGAGAGAGAGAGAGAGAGAGAGAGAGAGAGAGAGAGAGNTACTAACCTGTGAAGATGGCGCTGTGCTGAAGGTACCTCGACGACAAGCTGGAGCTATGGCACTCCAGGTAAGTCTCCCTGTCCTCCGCCCAATCTCTATCCCTCTCCAGTGCTACTCTAACTCCTAATAGCGCCCAGCGCTGAAGACTACTGCTAACGCTACTACTACTACTGCAGCGCTCCTCCAGAGTGCGGCTGCTGAATCCTGAAGACTACCTCCTGTGTTGCATACCATAACGGTGCAGACCAGACCAAGAACCAATCTTTCTCGCTAGATACGGGATTGCACAACGGAAGGCTTGAATACCAATGATCCGATCAATCAAGGTGCCATGCAGACCAAACATGCATCATCATCATCTCATAGTGTGAAGGGGGCTGATGCGCGCACATGAAAAATGCGTCAGTCCCCAATCATACACAGACGAAGAAGAGGGGGATTAAACGAAGGGGAGGGGGAAGATGGAAATGTCGTCAACTCTAAGTCTTCGATACAGTCCCACATAATCCCTCGCCAAACGTCTGACTCCCGATGCTGAGTCTGAACCCCAATGTCGTCGAATCCCAATGTCGCCCATCTCTCTCTCTCTCTTTCTCTCTCTCTCTCTCTCTCTCTCTCTCTCTCTCTCTCTCTCTCTCTCTCTCTCTCTCTCTCTCTCCTCACATCCACACCTACACCCACACCCACACCCACACCCACACCCACACACACACACACACACGCACACACGCACCCACGCACCCACGCACACACACGCACAAACACGTGTGCCAATGTATATTTCCACGTTCTGACGGTAGATTCATTCGATTTTTTGCTCATCCTAAGTAGCGTGAGGCCAGCCACAGGGTTGGAGACTTACCTGTTGGTCAATGCGTTCTCATCCTATCGATTGAAAACTCTCTTTGTGCTAAGTATTTTAGTAAGTTTGATATCCATCATGGGTTCCATCATATCCTAGTTAAAGAGGAGGATCGTCCAAAGACGACGTTCGTATTGACTCAGTGAACGATGAACTTTTGCGTCATTATGTACATGGACGATATCTTGGTGTATTCTGAATCGTTCCACGGATATGCTCAACACATCGAGTGGACGCTGGGGGCATTGCGAGATGCTGGGTTCAAGATTGCGCTGGAGAAAAGTGAGTTTTCCCTTTTGGAAATCTTCTTTCTAGGGTATGTGGTGACACAGGGAGGTTTGAGGCCAGATTCGAGAAAAGTCGAGGCGGTTCGAGAAGCCCCTACACCCACATTCCAGACGCAGGTTTGAGCCTTCCTGGGGCTGGCCTCGTACTACCGAAGGTTTATTAAGGGGTTCGCGGCAATAGCCCAACCTCTAACAAACCTCCTACGGAAAGACCGACTGCTGAAGTGGGACGCGGACTACGAACAAACCTTTGTCACCTTGAAGGAGGCCCTGGCTTCCACGCCCATTTTGGTTCGGCCCGATCCCGGAAAGCAATTCATACTTATCATGGATTGGCAGCCCGAGGCGATTTCCGCTATTTTGGCCCAGAAGGGGAAGGACGCCCGCGAACACGTCATCGAATACGCCTCGTGAACTGTACCCGACGAACGCAGGAACGACTTGGCCCCGCAGGGAGAATGCTACGCGGTTATCTGGGGAATTCAACACTTCCATCCGTAATATATGTACGAATAAAAGTTCCTCCTTGTCACAGACCACGAGCTCCTGCTAGCTCTCAAGAGGCTCACTGACTACATGGGCATGATTGGACGATGGGCTATCCGGCTACAGGAGTATGACTTCGACATCGTCCACCGGAAGACGGAAAAGCACGGGAACGCAGACGGATTGACACGACTACATCGACCAAGCAAGGTGGTCGAGGGCGAAGAGATTACTCCGTGGAAGGAGCTGGAGCCAGCAAAGGAACCCCCATACGGAGAAGTGGCCATTCTCCCCCGACCCTCCAGGAAGTGACACGTGGACATGATGGCGATGGGTGGAAAAGGTAACTCTAGAGGTCCCCTTTTTCCCCTTTCGACTTCTTCTTTTCTCTCCTTGCCCGACACATTCTGTTATTTTTGCGAAGCGATATCGCGAGACTATTCGGTTCCTATACATCCTAGTAGTGCGGAAGCGTATGTCGACTGGATAGATTGTCAACAGCGTGTCTCCCGGGCCCATGGATCCTGTATCCAATACAGAAGCCTGGACAAACCTTGGTTATGTCCCTTGTGTCCAACCGACAAAATCCCGACGGAAGCTCGATTCCTCGAAGCCACGTCTGAAGGGTTAGAAAAGACACGCTGATTCCGGCGTGCCGAGTTATGGACGGATGTCGTCTTGATAGTTGCAATGGTTGGAAACTCCCTCCGAGAATTCACCAAGAACGATCGGAGACGAGCTAATGAAAGAGCACGGGATTACTGATGGAATGATGGACGGTTAGAGAAACGAAAGGTTGACGGTAGTGGGATCTTGATGTCAGTGCCTCATCCATTTATGAGGTACGACTGGGTCAAGTTACCTCACGAAGAAACAACTGCCCACTTTGCTGTTAGGATTACGGAATCGGCCATCGACAAAAACGAGTGGTATTGGTCCATTATCCGCAATGATGTTAGACTCATTGTCAAAAATTATCCAGTTTGCACGGCAGATAAGGCGCCGATTCAGCCGCCTAGCTCGATAGTGCCCAATGTAGTCGAACGACCATTTCAAACGGTTAGCATGAATACCACGGATATTGTTGTGCCCCATTGCCCCCTGGCCTAATAGTTGTGAATATTCAATTCTTTTGGTGTTCGTGGATCATTTTTCGAAATGGATCGAGGCATACCCCTGCAAATCGCGACAGACGACAAAAATTGTGCTATATGTTAACCATTTCCTTGGAATGCATCAAGTCACTGAGGAAATCCTAACGGACAACGGGGCATAATTATGAGGAGAGGTCCTAAGAAGCCTAGTCGTACATGGTGTCTCTATTCGCAATACGGCCCCCCATATGTCACAATCGAACAGACTGGTAGAGAATGCGAGCCAGGTGATTAAGACCGCTCCGCAATGAAATATAGTGGTGTGAGACACGAGGCCTTGGCCCGATATCGTGGACCATATCCTAGCTATCAACCGGGGGACCCCACATGAGTCCACTGGGCTGACCCCTTTTCAGTTACTGACCAATAGTCTGGCTTGCATAGCTCTGCCGAACCTAAACGAGGAGACGACCCTTGCGCGACGAGCCACGAGAGCGACGGTCAAAGATTAGGCCCAACGTCACCTAGAATTGATGGAAAAAACCCTCCCTCGGTTAGCCCGAAAAAGACAGTGGATTACTGAAATGGCCCATGAAGGACAGGTCCGGAGCTATGAGGCTTGAAATGGGAATGCTGGGCCTCGGCCCCAATATAAATTAGGGGACGTACTACAAGTGAGGAAATGTGCTCGGCAGGGCAAGTTAGCGCCATGATTCTTAGAGCGATTTCTCATAGTGGAGCTCGGTCCTAGCGGAGTGAACACCGTGCGGCTTGTGCCCGAGGTCTCGGGAAGCCGATCAGCTCGACCAATCATCCGACACGTGTCCTATCTTCGTCCCTTGCCTCCTTCTCCTTCTCCCCCATCATCCACGTCAGCCTTCGATTCTGCGGAGGAAGACGACGATCTTGAGCTCGATTACTCTGATTCTCCTTCCTCTCAACCTCCATCTCTAACCCCTTTCCCATCGCCATTAGCTTTTCTACTAAGCAGGTCATTGGCGAACATCTAATGAGACCTGGGGGGCATATCGTCGATCCGCCAGGTGCAACGGCCACGATTGTGTCCACATCTGCTTTGATTCGTGGCTTTCTTCAACACGATGACCAGCCACATGGCAGTAGAATTTCGCTTCGCACAAACCAGCGATCGAGCACGGGTGCTGGCCGAGGTGTCGATTTTTCTACAACTGTCTCCAGAAGGTGTCAGCCACGTGTCTGTAATTGTCGCCTTCACCGACGACCTTACGACGATGCATCCCGCGTCTCATACGGGCATCCTCTGGCAGTTGCAACTCTGGGCGCGGGATCTCATGGCCACCTAGGTCCAGTTGTTAGCACTACCTGACGATCGGATCAGTTCCACGGACGACAACGATCTAAGCCAACTCCGACTCTCTCCTGACGCGCTAGTATGAGAGGCCATCGTCCCAAAGCTTTTCCCCTTCACGTCGCCCCAATGAACCGACATCGAT